TTTTTTTTTTTTTTTTTTAAGTAAAAAAATTTTTTAAGCTTTGAAAATTGAGGGTTTGGGTATTAAAAAGAAAAAACTTAAAAAAAAAAAAAAAAAGACACTAAAGGCCAGTGAGCTGGAGTCTCAGGGCAGGCACAGAGCCTGGACTCTGAGTTGTGTTCCCTCCCCCGGGGTCTTCCGAATCCACTGTGACCTTGGTCCAGAGTTCTGTCTGTTCCTCTCCTCCCCTCGGGTGGGGACTTTTTTGTTTTGTTTTCAGTGTCTTTTCCTGCTCCTCCGTGAGCCTTGGCAGGCGCCCATTGCTGTGGCTGTTGGCCAAAAGGAATGTTCCAGAGCTGCCGAGATGGGAGGAGACTCGGGTTGGCTAATCCCCCAGCAGGAAAGAACGGTGCTCCCTCCTCCCCATCCCTGTCACAGTGTTAAGGAGCCGCGAGGAGCTACCTCGCCCGGACTCCGCTCTCCCACCTCATGTGTCACGTGCCCAGTGCCACTACTACCCAGCTGCTGCGTCAGCCGGGGCCCCACCTGGTCCTTCAGACAGACCGCCAGGCGGGGCCGCGGGGGGAGGCCGCCCCTGGAAGAGCAGGCTCCCCAGGTTTGGGTTCCAGTTTCCGTCCCGGGCGCCTGGCAGTGAGGAGCTGCCTCCCTTTAGGTCAGTCACCAGGGTCCCCTCCTAGAAGGGTCCCCACCCCAGATCAGCCACTTGGACACTAAGGCACATTTCAGCGTCTCTCGTCTCAGCAGTCATGTCTGTCTGTCCATGTGTGTTCTCTGCTTCGTGTCTTTGGGTGTCACCCTCAGAAGTAATGCACACTAGCCTCCAGCACGAAGCGATCCTTTCCATGCGGGTCTGAGCGTGAGGCTCGTTCAAGTATCAAATAAACCTGTAACAGAAAGCAGCCTCTGGGGTTGTCCATGTCGTGGGGGACCCTTCCCTCAGCTCTGAGTGGCCGTGTACTGGGCTGCTCCTCTCCCCCCACATGGACCTGAGCTGGACAGAGCACCTGTCATCTGTCAGGTGTGAGCCCGGCCGGGGATTCCACAGCCTGCCCATTCTAAGTCGTCTCAGTCGCCTGTGGTGCCCTCCCCTCCCCTTGGGAGCTTTGCTGGGGAGGGAGAGTGAGGGGAGGGCCCTGGAATGGGAGCCAGTGGTCTCAGGTCTGTGTCCCAGCTTGGTCATCCCTGCATGAAGCTGGCAGACCCTTTCCCTCCAGGGCCTCCATATCCCTATCTGTACAATGGGAACTTCCTCTGCTCTCAAAGGTTCTCGAGATTCCAACAGCCAGTCCCCAGGGCTCTGCAGAGGTGGGAGTGAAGTGACCCTGGGAGGGTTTGACCTGCTCCCAGCCCCTCTGGGGGTCTGCTGAAGGTGCTGGGGTCAAGGGCAGAGGCTCAGGGAGGTAGGCAGAGTTGCCCTCAGACTCTAGACCTGCTGTCCTGATGTGGGGGCCTCTGTTTCTGCGTTTGTAAAAGGATGGTATTGGCAGCCTTGGGCATTGTTTGGAGGCTCACTCATGATGACTATGCAGGTAGGTGGGGTTTTCATAGAGGGCCTTGCTCCTAGTACCCAGTAAAGGACATTTTCCTTCTGGACCGCAAGGCTTGTGCTGGGCTGGCATGGGGGCCCCGGGGCAGGGGTCTTGGTGGTGAAGAAATGGCCTTGTGTTTGACCTTGGGCCTTAGTGATGAGGCCTTAACTGCTGCTCAGGCACCTCCCCTGGGACAGGCCAGAGTCTGTCCTTGCTCCATGGGCTCCTCCCCCCAGGTGACATCAGCACTTTCTTCTTCTCTGTCCCTGATGTGNNGAGAGGGAGAGAGAGAGAAACATCAATGATGAGAGAGTCATTGATCGGCTGCCTCCTGCACGCCCCCCACTGGGGATTGAGCCTGCAACCCAGGCAAGTGCCCTGACCAGGAGTCCAACCCTTGATCTCCTGGATCATAAGTTGATGTTCAACTGCTGAACCACACTGGCTGGACCTGACATGGGCTTTCTGACTGGGAGGCCGAGCAGCTGGGCCTGGATCCCCTCCTAAGGCCCTTCCTCTGGTCTGGCCTCTCCCACTTCCCACGCCCGCCCCCACCCCAGCCTTGGCCTGCCAGGATCCAGAGCAGTAGTGTTTGGTCTGGAGCTGGTTAGCTTTTGGAGAAAACAAACACCACCCACCCACTTCTCAAAACCTGAGCAGAATAAATGAACAAATCGCAGGAGACCCAGCTCCTCCCCATCCCACCCTCCCCCGACCCAGCCCAGGATGCTCCACTTAAAACCACAGTGGTGGTCCTTTCTCTGATTGCAACAGCAGATTGGAAAATTTAGGAAAGTTCAAAAAATAAAATACGCCTACATTCTGCCCAGCGGTGTGGCTCAGTGATTGAGCATTGACCTCTGATCCAGGAGATCTCAGTTCTGTTCCTGGTCAGGGCACATGCCCCGGTTTCGTGCTCGATCCCCAGTAGGGGACGTGCGGGAGGCAGCTGATTAATGATGTTTCTATTTCTCCCTCTCCCTTCCTCTTTCTTTAAAAAATAAAAGATAATAAAATACCCCTGCATTCTACCCAGAACAGCCCCTCCTAACCTGAGTAGTGGGTCGGCATTTACTAAGCGTCAGGCCCTGTGCCAAGCTCTTTATTAGCAGTAAAGTATTCATTTCTTCCTTACAAGAGAGTTCCTTCTGTTACCCCCAAATTACAGGTGAGGAAAGTAAGGCCAGGCGCAGACAGAGCCCAGTCTGCCTCACTGAGCCTCCACGGCAGGCCTCTGGGGAGGTTCCCAGGGGAGCTGTGAGTCCCGCATGATGGCCCCTCGCTGTGCTCCCTCCTGGCACCTGTCACTGTATCTGCTGGGTGGCTGCACCGGAAGGGGCCAGGACAGCCAGGGAGCCCAGTATTGGCTGTATTTCCCACATGGTTCTGCCGCCCAGCCCCTCTACCAGCCTACCCCCCCCTTCCCTCCAGCCTCAGGAGCTTGGCAGGGCTCACCCCTCCCCTGGCCCTCCTGGGGCAGCTGGGACCGGGCAGCTACTCCCAGTGCAATGGCCCAGAAAACACAATCTGACTCCGGGCCAATGCTCTTGAGGGCTGAGCTGTGTCCCCGTGCTCACTCCCAGGACACTCTGTCCCTTTGCCATCCAGAAACCGTCATTTCAGGGAAGGCCAGTGGACGGTTTTTCAGAAGCAGCAGCCGAATGAATGGCCCTGTGCGGGGCTGAGCAGGGCTGGCCAGAAGGGCGGTTGGTTGTGCTGTTCCCACCCCCGGCGTCACACCGTGCCAGCCTCACGGGAGACACCAAACACCCTGGGCCTGGAGGTAGGGAACAGGAACTGTGACTCCCCCTCATTCTGAACACCCGGGGCCCCACGTCCAGCCTCTTTCTCCTCCTAAGATCCCCCTTGTCTTCTACCTTCCTGTGAGCTGCAGACTGGCCTCCACACTCCCTCCGTAATCCTCGCAAGACCTGGAGTTTCAGAGCTGGGAGAGGCCCAGACAATTCCCCAAGACCTTTGGAATGTAAAGCCAGTCAGGGTCAGTCTGGTGTGCACGTCCCCCAGGCCTCCACCTGTATTTATTCCCCTCCACCGACATGAGGCTGGTGGCCCTGGGGACTTTGCTCACAGTTAGCGGTGGCACCTGGGCTGGCACTCAGGTGTCCTCTTGTCTGCCCAGCTTCTTTACCTGGACACTCCTTGAATTCAACTTCCAAGCACCTAGTAAGCAGCCATCCCACTGGGGGCGAAGGGGGAGCAGAAGAAGCCTTAAAGGAGGTCAGAAAGGGTTAATCCTGGATTAGCGAGGAAGATGGACCCAGGGTTTGGGGCGGGGGCAGAGGCCAGGGCCCCTCCAGGTGCAGAAGTCAGAGGGGGCCTGAAAAGCCTGGAGTTTAGCCTAAAGGGGTCAGGCTGGTCTGGGCTGGGGGTGGGGCAAGGATTGAGTTTTCTCTGGGGAGGGAATGGTTAAGTACCCTGAGCCTCCCAGGCTCTGTCCACTCTGCCCTCCTGACCCTTCCCTCTCCAGCATTGGGCCCCGCACCGAGGCCACCGGACGCCCAGCCTCGTTCCACATGGCCTGCTTGAACCCCACGCAGCTCCAGAAGGTAGGGGCTGTGGGGTGGGGCCGGGCCGGGCAGGTAAGAATAGGGAGACCCTCGGGACAGGACGGAAAGGACTCCCCACTCCCGAGAACTCAAC